AAAACCCTACGGTGGTTTAAGCGTTCATTACACACAAAAATTAAGCTGATTTGGCCGATCCCCATTTTTCAAACCCTGCCTGGTTTTGCCGAGTAACCAAGTGCAATGGCGTTTAAGAGATAAAAAGGGACCTTTCATTGCTGCTTTCATTTGCACAACTTAAATATATTCCCTATAGAAATGGCAGGACAGTCGGCTGAAATGGGACCCAAAGTACTATGGTGACATCAAGACGCACAACGTTCTGGGCAGCAGAATTTGGACACCGTCATTCACTGTGAAAAGAAAGTACGACGTCCTTCTTAAGCTTAATTAAGCTTATCCGATTGATGTCGATATATGCTGCATATTGTTTTATAGTACCTTGTTTTTGCCTGCCAAACACTGCAGCAGTCTAATCCTAGACAACAATATCACAAGAACAAATTGTTGGAACAACGGAGAAGATTGTATGGCGTACCTTATTTGGCAGGGTTGAATAACCGCCTCTCTTCTATGCCGATGTTTTATCCCTGTTTGCTCCCTGTCTATATCCGTGACGTTAAAGTTCATTTTATTTCCCTTTCTTCTCCTGTCATGTGGCCTGTCAGACGTCACCTTAAACCATAACATGTCTAATAATCAACTAGCAAAACATCTTTCCCTCTCTACCAACCGTTGTCACGAGACAAGATACATACAGGTCCCCTGCACCCCAAACAATACTTCGTAAGTTAGAGAAAACCTGGTTGGTCTGAGGCTAAGAATGATGATGCTTTTACTTCACAGTGCCGATCCCACCTATCGAGGCCTACAACAAGACGTACCAGTTCGAGTCAGCAGTGATGGGCTGGTAGTCTGGAGTGTAGAAACCCTGACCACCACCGTGTGTGATGCAGACCCCCTTCTTCTTTCCTGCAGACACCATGGAATGTCACATCTGTTTTACGGCACCGACAGCTATCGAGCAAACCATTCGTAAGACCTTTTTTTGTAATTATCCTCAAGCTGCCTAAACATGATAGTTTTCGTAACATAAAGATAATTCCATCTTGTTTATTTATGCTAAGATAGTTTAATTATTCAGACGAAGTACGACCAGATTATACAGTTAACAGTTAGAACTACATACAACAGCGATCAGATTATTATTGGAATGGGCAGAGCACTTTGAACTAATGCTTCTGGCTGTTTACAGCTTAGAGGTACATATCCAATATTTTGTAAAAAAAACTTTTCTGTCACATAGTGGATCATAATGATCCCCAGTGGGGGTCTTCACGCTTCGTTAGAAATTGAAAAATCTCAAGATTTATTCCAAAGATCTTAATATTTTAGACGAAATCTTGAGATCTTATAAGACAATCTTGAGATTGTTCATGACAATCTCCAGATCTTTCAGAAAATCTTGAGATGAAAGCAAAAGGTCTCAAGATCTTTCCAAATGTTTTCAAAGCATCTTGAGACTTTTCCATAACATCTCGAGATGCTTTAAAAAATACCAAGATTGTTTAAAAGATCTCAATTTTTTTCAAGATCGCTTTAAAAATCTTGATATTTTTAAAGCATCTCGGGGCTGGGAGTGCCAAATCCCAAGTGCCGGAAAGATCGACCCGTAGCCCCCCTTCCTGTTGAAGGTGGGGTTGTACATTCTTTCATATATTGCCTCTTTAACACCCCGTTCCCACCAGCGTGTTTTGCGGTCTAAGATATCCGTGGACTCGAGTTTGAAAGAGTGACCCTGGTTGTGTTGTAGGTGGTGGAAAATAGCTGAGGAGTAGCTGTTGGCACTAGGTCGGCAATGTTCTTTGTATCTTACTTTGAGCGGTCGACTTGTCTCTCCGATGTAGGTGTTGTAGAAGCAAAATATGAAAGAATGTACAACCCACCCTCAACAGGAAGGGGGCTACGGGTTGATCTTTCCGGCACTTGGGATTTGGCACTCCCAGCCCCCGAGGACAGACAACACTTAAGCTCCTGTTCCGTATAACAGGAGCTTTTAAACTAATTTGCATCATCTTGTCTTGACTTGTCTGACATTTGTTCCTTTTTCGACTTCCAAAAATTTGTCTTCACTTTATTTGCATATCAATCAACAGGTTGTACTTATAAATCTGCTTTCCCTCTGGTCTCTCAGTCACTGACGAAAGCTAGTGGATACTAGCTCATAGGTGATAATCATTGTTTCTTCTGTTTGGAATAATGTTCTTACATTCCAGCATCCTGATTTTATACTATGTTCTGGCGACAGGATGTCATCTCTCGGTCTGGGGGCTTCCTTTGGGCTTTGACCCCCGCCGTCATGTGTCCAGCTGCTTGGGCAGCTTCTCTCCTATTGCCAGATTGATTTCTCCTTTCTGTAGTTTCTGTAGCTGTGATTGTTTCACAGGGTGGAGAAGATGCCTCCACGATTAACTCCCATCCCTTTCCAGTAACAATTTGGGCGGGAAACCGGTAAGTGCCTCCCGTGTAAGGGAGTTTGGGTGCGGGTGCTATTAGCCAGCAGCGCTACCCTGGGACCCGTCCCACAAGGGTTGAACCTGCCAGGAGCAGGGGGAACCTAACTTAGCAAGCCCCGATGATTCACCACCCTGCTTAGGATGGTATCGCAACCCTGAGTCATTGCTGTAGCCGTTGTTGTTTTCACTCTCTAGCATACGCCACTGCTCATCATGAATACTAATTAGCTAGCATGTGTTCGGGAATGACGTAATGACGGCTAGGATAGTTGACCCCTGACCCCTTGGTGGGGAGACGCAGCAACCAACTTCCGGTTTCGATCGTGTGTTCTCTGAACGCATTCTAACAATACCCGCCTAAGACGCATTTGTTACGCCTCGCAACTTATCAAAAGGTTAGAAATTATGGTTACATTTATTCTTGTCTCAGTTGTCTTTGGGAAAAAAACTTCTGTATTTAAGTTTTTCTTTGTTATGAGACAATTGTTGTGCCTCACAACTTCATGTTAGAAATTATTGTTACTGTCTCAGTTGTCTTTGGGGGAAAAAACTTCTGTATTTGAGTTTCTCTCAGTATAATGACGATAAGGGAACTTAATTAAAGGCTATATATAACAAGGGTTTAGTAACTTAGTCTTTGGGTAGTGAGTTATGATGTGAAACCGAGTGAGACAGTAAATGCGGATGTGAAACAAGATAACAGTTTCGACTCCATTCCACCGAAGACATTTGCGTACTGCGGTATTCTTACCGATATCCTGATCTGGAAATCACGTACATCTGCGTAGCTCCGTATTTACACTAGAAAACGGGGTACACGATGGCTACTAGATTTTTCAATTTCTAACGAAGCGTGAAGACCCCCACTGGGGGTCATTATGATCCACTATGTGACAGAGAAGTTTTTGACAAAATATTGGATATGTACCTCTAAGATGTAAACAGCCAGAAGCATTAGTCCAAAGTGCTCTGCTCATTCTAATAATAATCTGCTCGCTGTTATACGTAATTTCAAAGACAAAAAGCAATTACAATTGTTACCATGGCATTCGGGTTTATTTGTACTTTTGCATGATTACACATCTAACATTGTGCATATGATATATGACATGAATCTATGTTGCACGCAGAGTGCCAAGAGCAAGACAGCTCTGAGGAGGATGAGTGCTGTCCTTGTGGTGGCTTTTCTGCTACAAGAATGGAAGGCGAATGGTACCGAAAGGACACGATGTTTGCTAAAGACAACAGGGAAGCGTGCTTTGTTCTTCACCTGGCGAGGGCCCCCCTGTTCCACATCGCCACTACAGTTGGACCCTGCATCATCCTGGTGGTACTGATGACTATCACCTTCATCATGCCTATTGACAAGGGAGATCGGATCTCGTTCGCAGTTACCATTCAACTCTCCATGGTCGTGTCCCTCGTGTTTGTTACGGAAGTCCTTCCTGTAAAGGGTGCCCTGCCGTTTTTCGGTAAGTAAATATTATATAACTTAACTGTCTGTTTTACTTCCGAGACAGAAATATTGTTTGGGGGCTGGGATTTCTTAGTGGTGGGTGTATGTTTTGGTTCTGAAGTGGTTGGAGAGTGGGGTTCTCTTAGTTGACAGGTTTTGACCCAGTAGTCTCTGGGTTCAAGGGTGTGGTCACCGAGAATGTGTTAAAAAGAAATTATGATGTTATATTAAATTAAGTTCCGTCAACTAATCTTAGGCCACACCAATTTAATTTGTTGGTTCTCGGATTTTTTCAGAAAAAATATGAAGCGACAGGGCGAAAAAAAATTAAAATAAAAACAGGTCTAGGCATCCTATTATAGGCTTAAATGCTACAAAATGAGCCATGAAGTCAACACAAAAGGCTGGGTTAAAATTTAAACATTGAATTTTAAACTTTTAATCAAACCACTGCAATGATAGATGGGAAAACTGTAACAACTAGGAAGAAAAGGACTTTCCTCAACTGTTGGGGGGCAAAACATGAGCATTTTTCAGTTGATTCAGGACCAGAATCAATTTTTTTTTTGCAAATCAGAAAAAAAACGAAGAGGCGAATCC